CGACAGAAAGCGGAGTTGGCGAGCAAGCACATGTGGACAGAAATGAAAAAACTCCAACCCGAAGACCAGCTGATTCTCAAAACTTGGAACGCACTTCCTGTCACATACCACACACTGCAGCGTGTGAGTATTGCTGTATTGACCATGTTTGGATCTACGTATGCATGTGAGCAGTCATTCTCACATCTTAAAAACATCAAGTCCAACCTACGATCACGTTTAACGGATGAAAGCCTCAACGCTTGCATGAAGCTTAACCTCACCAAGTACCAACCCGACTACAAAGACATCAGCAAATCCATGCAGCACCAGAAGTCGCATTAATGGTGAGTGTTATAACAACATTATTTAAAAGAATAAATTCAGAGGCTTATTATACTGACATTTAGTTGAATTCACTTTTAAAATATATTATATGGCTCTCACTGAAATAAATTTCCAATTTTTTTGCTTTCATGGCTCTCTTAGTCAAAAAGGTTCCCGACCCCTGGCCTAGGGTAACCTCTTCCCATGGCTGACACTCTCCCCCTCCCTCCTGTAGTAGTCAGCACTGCACGCCACTGAGCGCTATCCTGGCGCTCAACGAGCCCCCTCTATGGCTGGTACTACACCCACCTATGGGGTGTCTGCTATGACAATGCATCGCATGCCATGCCTTGCTGGAGCCGGCATTACTCAGTGACATTCACGATGTCGCTACATACGTGATATGCGCGATATGAGTACATCACACGCCGTGCCTCTTTAGGGCCAACGCCACACAGTGACATCCGCGATGCCACTACACATAACAGGTCCCTGCAGGGTGGGCTGGTAGGACAAGTCTCTGTGCTGTCTATTGCTGATTTTACACCCAACAGCACGAGATTTCACTTCGTTAAAGTATTGAAAGGGGACGGACGGACGGATACATTAATCTATTGCAGGCTGGTACACTCAGTTTACAACTTCGTTCCTACCAGTATAACTAATTTTGCTCTGGATATATTTAACTACGTAGTGACGACCAACACACGTTTACACATTTATTAAGAGCCTTTATTGGTTGGCAGGAACACCATCTTAAAGCACGAGCTTTGGTTCTTCAGGAACGAGCTTCGTCTTCTCTCCAAGCGTCTCTTCCCCTTGTGCTATTCCTTTTTATACCCCTCAAGCCTCCTTTCTCGAAAGTTTTCTCGACCTATATCCCTCAGTCAATCCCCGTCCTCCTCTTAGAACGGTTGTCAACCGTTCTCCTGTCGGTCAAACGTCGTTTTCCCACCCTTTGCATTTGTATTTTTCCTCCAATCCCTTATTTTTTTTGTCTCTAGCCAATTTATTTCCATGAATCCCCTTTGCACTTCTCTTTTCTCCATCATCCACCCCACGTGGCCTCTCCCAGATTAGGGGCACTGATCAGGGGCCTTGTTTTGCTTACTGACTGCCCATGTTTGTATGCATGGCATTACTCATCGTCAGGTACAGTGAGGGAAAAAAGTATTTGATCCCCTGCTGATTTTGTACGTTTGCCCACTGACATATAAATGATCAGTCTATAATTTTATTGGTAGGTTTATTTGAACATTAAGAGACAGAATAACAACAACAAAAATCCAGAAAAACGCATGTCAAAAATGTATAAATTGATTTGCATTTTAATGAGGGAAATAAGTATTTGACCCCTCTGCAAAAAACATGACTTAGTACTTGGTGGCAAAACCCTTGTTGGCAATCACAGAGGTCAGACGTTTCTTGTAGTTGGCCACCAGGTTTGCATACATCTCAGGAGGGATTTTGTCCCACTCCTCTTTGCAGATCTTCTCCAAGTCATTAAGGTTTCGAGGCTGACGTTTGGCAACTCGAACCTTCAGCTCCCTCCACAGATTTTCTATGGGATTAAGGTCTGGGGACTGGCTAGGCCACTCCAGGACCTTAATGTGCTTCTTCTTGAGCCACTCCTTTGTTGCCTTGGCCGTGTGTTTTGGGTCATTGTCATGCTGGAATATCCATCCACGACCCATTTTCAATGCCCTAGCTGAGGTAAGGAGGTTCTCACCCAAGATTTGACGGTACATGGCCCCGTCCATTGTCCCTTTGATGCGGTAAAGTTGTCTTGTCCCCTTTGCAGAAAAACACCCCCAAAGCATAATGTTTCCACCTCCATGTTTGACGGTGGGGATGGTGTTCTTGGGGTCATAGGCAGCATTCCTCCTCCTCCAAAAACGGCGAGTTGAGTTGATGCCAAAGAGCTCCATTTTGGTCTCATCTGAACACAACACTTTCACCCAGTTGTCCTCTGAATCATTCAGATGTTCATTGGCAAACTTCAGATGGGCATTATATGTGCTTTCTTGAGCAGGGGGACCTTGCGGGCGCTGCAAGATTTCAGTCCTTCACGGCGTAGTGTGTTACCAATTGTTTTCTTGGTGACTATGGTCCCAGCTGCCTTGAGATCATTGACACGATCCTCCCGTGTAGTTCTGGACTGATTCCTCACCGTTCTCATGATCATTGCAACTCCACGAGGTCAGATCTTGCATGGAGCCCCAGGCCGAGGGAGATTGTCAGTTCTTTTGTGTTTCTTCCATTTGCGAATAATCGCACCAACTGTTGTCACCTTCTCACCAAGCTGCTTGGCAATGGTCTTGTACCATTGGAAACCTCATTTGCCAGTAACAAAATATGATAATTGGTTTTTTACCCTTTTATCTGGCAACAAAACTGACACCTTTTTTTACAAGGAGTCATGTTTACATTGACCACAATACCTGCGGTCGGAATGCAAACAAAAAACAACAACTCTGATAATGTTGCCAGATAAAAGGATAAAAAAACAATTATCATATTTTGTTATGGGCAAATGAGGTTTCCAATGGTGTAAATGCTTACCCCAAGCTCTCATACTCTGATGGTGCATTGTCTTTGAGTTGTGCGCCTTTTGGCGTCTTCTGGTCCAACACCATGTGCGACGAGGCTCTAAATAAAGCTGTCTCGGGTGTGGACCATTCAATTTCAAGGACAGTGCATACATTATCAGAGTTGTTCTTTTTTGTTTGCGTTCCGACCGCAGGTATTGTGGTCAATGTAAACATGACTCCTTGTAAAAAAGGTGTCAGTTTTGTTGCCAGATAAAAGGGTAAAAAACCAATTATCAATGGTCTTGTAGCCCATTCCAGCCTTGTGTAGGTCTACAATCTTGTCCCTGACATCCTTGGAGAGCTCTTTGGTCTTGGCCATGGTGGAGAGTTTGGAATCTGATTGATTGATTGATTGCTTCTGTGGACAGGTGTCTTTTATACAGGTAACAAGCTGAGATTAGGAGCACTCCCTTTAAGAGTGTGCTCCTAATCTCAGCTCATTACCTGTATAAAAGACACCTGGGAGCCAGAAATCTTTCTGATTGAGAGGGGGTCAAATACTTATTTCCCTCATTAAAATGCAAATCAATTTATAAAATTTTGACATGCGTTTTTCTGGATGTTTTTGTTAATCTGTCTCTCACTGTTCAAATAAACCTACCATTAAAATTATAGACTGATCATGTCTTTGTCAGTGGGCAAACGTACAAAATCAGCAGGGGATCAAATACTTTTTTCCCTCACTGTAAGTCGCCTGTTGTTTTTCGGTCTTTACACATACATGCACAATGACAAGTAGATTTTAGGTAGCCTGACACTCTCACATTATGTATAGAAATGCTGTGTGTTTAGCAAACCCTTGTATATATATACACTGTGGTGCAGCATATAAATTGCTGTGTATTGTAGCTTGTGCAAGACATTCATGTCGGAACAAAAAAAATGAGATGGATAAAACGTTGAGAAAGGAATACTGTATTAAAGGTACACATGTAATTATAATTATTAAATATATCACAAATTTACCCGAACATGGTAAAAGGTAGAGGTGCAGCCCTGCAATGTGTTGCTTAATCCAATGCTGGCGGACGGGCTTCCACAACAGGGAGATCTAGAGATCAACTCTAGAGGGTGTTTGGCCTACTATTTCAGTCTGGTCACATGTCTCGGAAGATGTCGGAGGACTCATAGTTTACCCACCAGAACCTGCCCATCGATCGGATAACTGTGGTGAACCCATTTATACTGCTGGGTGCACTGAGGTCGGCATGTACCAGAGCAGTGTAATAATGGATAAGACACATCACATCTCAAACATGTGTAATGAGAGAACGCCATCTAGTGGGTGCCAGGGGGTAATTGTACGGGAACTGTCGGATGACCGGCATTCAATCCTAAGTGGGGATAACATCTTGGCCAAAGGTGACGGGGCGAAGTCGGGGAAGATGTTCGGGAACCATCGGGAAGGTTCCACGAGGGGGCGTGGCTAGAAGCGGAGCTTAGCTCCGCCGGGAGGAATGTAAGCAGAGGCAGGGGAGGACTTGTGGCCATTGTGGGCAGCCTCGGGTCTTGACTGCGTCGCTGCTCATTTTCTCCTCGCCACCGACCACGTGGAAGAGCCCCCAGCGGAGCTCGCCTCTTCTCCCCGGCACGCCGCCAGGCAGCGGTGGGATCGGAGAGAGAGTGGCAAACCTCGACAGTGGGACAGAGATAACTCCTCGTCCACGGCATTGATGAAAAGGAAATTTCCCGGAGAGGGAAGGAGCGGAGCTGTACAGCACTACGGTTTAATAAAGAAGCACCATTTCAAGAGTCGCCGTGGAAGTCGTTTATTACACATGTAAAAGGGCAGTCCTAGTGGCAGCTGTCCCTGTGGCCATGAGGTGACTCGGCACCTGGGCTGCAAATGGGTATTAGTTTGTTAATCGGATCGATGCTTGCTATGTTTTTCACAATTGAGTGTTTTTTTAATGTATTTAGCAAATGTGGACTATGATATGGCACACAATGGCCAACTCCTTCCAAATGTCAGGGGATCTTAAGATCCACTGTGAGTAAAGCAGACAGTGCATGTTTTTCATTCATTTGGATGTGCCTTCCTGCTGTTCAGTTCCTCACCCCTGGTCGCCCAATCTCTCCGTGTTGTGTGGATCCCCTCCACAGATCTCTTTACTGCACAAGTCGTCTCTCGCCAAGGAGTGTGGTGATGGATTCTATAAATCACAACGAGGCGTCTGTTGTGAGCTGTGCCCTGCAGGTAAAGCAACACAGGCATGGCCATTCAGGCTCATAACGCATTCCCTCCCCTTGCCATTCGATTGTCACGATAACATTCAAAAACAACTTCCCACAGCTTCGAAGACCACAGGTATAAAACCGTTGCTCTACCCTACTCCTGTGTGAAACAAAAAGCGTGGCACCCAGGTGCCTGTTTGCTGGACAAGTTTACTCCAATGGGTGTTGCCATTCCAAGTGGCCCCACCAGATGGTTTAAGTTGTAATAAGGAAAAAAAACACAGCAATATGCTTCGAGTTGATGTATTGTTCCTAAAAGCCCCATGCTTAATGGTTGTCGGCTCAGTCTCCCAATGAATCAACTCATGGTTGGACGCCTAGTCCGGCTCCCCTTTAAGCGTCGTGTAAAGTTTTATGTCTTGGCTTGCTCATGCTGCTTTGTCCTCCAGGGACATACAAGATGTTTGACTGCATAGCTGATAAAGCGAGAGCCGCGTGTGATCTATGCCCTGAGGGCAGCTTCATGACCAGAGACAACCATGAGGAGACGTGTGCACAGTGCAGCAGCTGCGGACCAGGTAAATAACTGCACAGCAAGTAGGTTACGGCCATATCTGCATTGTTTGTTTTTGAGATTCATCTGTTTGTGTGCTTCAAATTCCAATTGTGTATTTAGCATCTTAGAATAAGGCAAATAAGTTATATTTGGAGTGCACAGTGAAAAAACAAACCAGAATATCAAACAAACCAGGATACCAGCAGTGTCGATATCCTGGTTTGTGAATCTGCAATAATTAATAATTTCCTGGCAATTGCAAAATTATCAGGCATGTTCCTGATCTCATCAGATATCAGAAACTAAACAAGGTTCAACCTGGAGTATCCACTGTGCATATAACTTGTAATAGAGAACGCTACGGGGCTACGTACTGGAGAGTTCAGCAACATCAATTGTATTCATATTCTTAGTTTTTTCGGTAAAGTCACGTTGAAGAGAAACAACAGAATAATAAAATATATATATAAAACAATAAAAAATTTCTCACGACGTTTCGACCATACCTCAAACGGTCGTCTTCAGGTGTGTTGGTTCTCTTCAACGTGACTTTACCGAAAAAACTAAGAATATGAATTACTGCGGTCGTCTTCAGGTGTGTTGTTTCTCTTCAACGTGACTTTACCGAAAAAACTAAGAATATGAATTACTGCAGTCACGAAAGCTTTAAATCAAAAATCAATTGTATTGTTCTATTCTCTGTACTATTCTCCCACATCTATGCTCCTCACTTTCACCAACCTGTTCTGTGTGAAGTATGGCCAAACAACCTCAAAAAGGGGAAAAAGGTTACTATATTTTATGGATTTTCTTCAGGTATATATTGTATAATATGAAAATAGCCTCTCAAATTGGTCAAATCACAGTCGTCTGCGTTCCGATGAGGGTTGTGAAATGAAAACTGGTAACTGTTTAACAAAAATAATTACCGGATATTTGGCCTACTCTTCCACGAAGATCAAATATATTTTAAGGGGTTAGCACACCATTTTAGTATGCTAATGACAGCCCCCTCTAATGCGTATTTGACCGACTCTGCCACACTGCCCACGTCTTGGAAGAGGTCTACCACCTCTCAGTGGTAACTCCCAAGCGTGGCAGCATAAGACACCAGCCTATCAGTTTTACTCTAAGATTTTGTATTTTTAAGGGCAAAAAAAAATGCCTAACATGATCCATTGTAAAGTCGAGGGGTTGGTGGTTTAATGCGTTGCTTCTCATTGCAGATGAGGAAGTGGCTCACACGTGCTCGGTGGCCCAAGACACCGTGTGTCAGTGCATGGAGGGGCTTAAGAGAGACCCTGGCGCAGGGATTTGTCTGCGTGAAGAGCTCCACACAGGTGAGCGAATCAGCCGCTCGAGCCGGTGCCATCAGTTGTGCAGTATAGACGTTGATTTGTCAGCTCATAGTCGAAGCAACAACAGCCTGGTAACTGAAACAGCAGACGCTCATGTGGCGTCATCAACCCCTCTCCTCACCACCCCGACGTCTCATGACGTCACCGCCTCTGCTCTCCAACTCACCCCGATCTTATTTTTAATGGCTAAGTGGTAGTGCGTCGTTGGCAGAACCCAGGGTTCGAATCCAGCAACCACACTAATTCATATTGTAGGTATATTATCCATAAATACTACGTGACATCTGCTTCACACTGAACATTAGAGATCCCGTGATAAGTGTTCCTACAAGAGTGTGCCACGTGTGTTGGCTTCCAAATTATTCAGAATTTGAAGTACACGGTAAACCCTCTCTCTAGCCGCGAGGGTTACGTTCTTGAAAATGATGACGATTGCAGAATTCACTAATGCAAAAACAGCGTTCCAATTGGAAAAATGGGGTGACCTTCATGGTACGAGTGGACATAGGGGGGATATGGCAAATGTTTAATAACAATTATGACAATAAAGTGGTCGCCCCGGTGGTGCCTAGCCTGGTATACAGAAGGTCGTGGGTTCGATCCCAACCCAGACACCTGCTGTATATTTGGAGTTTGCATGTTCGCCTCGTGGTCACGTGGATTTTTCTCCGGGTCCTCCGGTTTTTCCCTCCACATTTAGAAACATGCGTTTAGAGGATTTGGCTGGAATAAATTTCCACTTGATAAGCCACTTCGGTGAGTGATCATTTGTGGCCAGGTCATTTCTGAAAAAAAGATCTATATTAAGTTAAGTTGGCCTTACCGGGGGAAAAAATAGTTATAAACAACTGTGTTTTTTTTAACTACCTTTGATGATGATGGTGATTTTACGACGATTGAGGTGTGATGATGTTGAGGAGCTCAGGGGCATGACTCTCAGGAGACACAGGTGTTTGATAATAATCATTTTGGATAGCACGAAGCCACAACACTTTCCCGCATTCGTTTTGATACAGCTCACAGTCGACTCGTTTATACTGGAATGTATGAAGGAGTGGACTGTATGTACGTATAAAGTAGACGTGCACAATAGCGAGTTCCGAGCGGGATCACTGCAAGACGTGAGGACTAAGCGGGCAGCCGAGGAGACGTGCCTAATATTTGGAGACTGTTTCAAATATAAAAGTCTGTACACCCCTCCCTGGTGTTGGTGGTTTGGCACTGCGTTACTCGAAAATACTGGAGTCCAGTGGGTCACGAATAAGGAATTAGTATACATTTAGTAACTCGCGAAACTCACGAATCCAGAACTTGTCAATAATGAGGTTTTACTGTACCCACAAATTACTTAAGTGCATGAAGCCACACAGCAGCATTGTTCCCTAATGAGAACCTATTGCAAACAATGTCTATAAAACACTGCACCTTCCTTTGTGATAGTCTTACACTATAAGAATGGTGCGAATACTAAATGTGCTAATCTTTTTATCTGAAATGGGTTATTAACTTAAAACGTAATAGGTTACCATATCTGACAAGTGCAGAATACACTGCGAATGTTCCCGTTTTGACAGCTTGTTGTTTCTCATCCTATAGAAAACTACACTGCAGTTACAGCAGCTATCGTATTGGGATGTGTCCTTGCACTGGTACTGTCTGCATTTATTTTCTCTCGATTTATGAGAAAATGGAAATGGCCGTCTTTGAAAAAAATATTGGAGCTTTGTGGTAAGTATAGTGTCCCATGATTAGTTCTAAAAAGGGATTAATCTATCAAAATGTATTCATATGCTACCATGGTGCACCACTTGAGATTTTCTAGGTGCATGCTCAAATTAATGGAATTCAGAGAGACTAACTCTTACATATTCTGATCATTGTTTATTGTCATTTCTCACCATACATCTTGTCACACAAGAGTAAGGTGTTTCCTATCGTTGGTTGTGAAAACTCACTATACAGTACCCCATTTACTTTACTGTTTAATCAGGCAGAGAGGTAATCTCGAGACCAGAACTTGAGGCATCTTCTTCTTTGGTTCTTTCGGTAAAGTCACGTAGAATGATAATAAAATAATAAATTGATAAAATAAAATACGTGACTTTACCGAAAGAACCAAAGAAGATGAATCATTGCAGTCACGAAAGCTTTAAATCGAAGTTGAGGCATCTTGCATAAGCTTCATTGTTGTATATTTGTTGTATATTTGCAGCCACTGCAACATCAATCTCAGTGATGCCTTGAATGACTCCAAACTCTGAGTATTTATGCGTGGATATTCATCATCAGGAGTTTAGTCAAGTACATGAACCTCACATGATACTTCACCAATGGACTACCAGAATTTTCAACAACTTCAAACGATTCACAAAAAACGCAGACAACTCTTGATCACAACCTCTAGTTCATCGCATCTCACCTTGAGGGAAATGTTTATCACCCCAATAGACAAGGGCATGGCTACCAAACAGCCTCATGGATATTGTTGAACAAGGGAAAGTCTAAACAGTGAGATATGATGCACAATTTTCTGCAGAATCTGATACAAACTGAGACTCCAATAATGATTAATAATAATAATTTAGGGGAAAGAGCACTTCAAATATTTGAGACTGGTACGACTCTAATAAGGCCTAGAATATTAGATGTGTACAATCTGACGGTTTCCAACATAAAACTTTTTAATAAAAATGTTACTAACTTGCAAAACCATATATGAAACGTGTTATTCTCTATCATTCTGCCACTACCTATGGCAGATATTTATTGGACACACAATGTCTGTGCCCCCAATATATATTTATTTTTACATTTCACGTGATATGTGGTCTCTAATCGGTGAACAAAGGCCCCCCAACCACCGCCCGCCACCACAAACTACTTCACCGGCTCCAGCCGGCGAGGTCGGTCGGTAGCTCTCTTTGTCGCCGCTGGGCCTGCTTTGTCTTGACTGCTACCACCGCTTTAGACACCCCTTGCTCGCTAGTCTCCAAAGCTGCTGGCTCTGCAAAGTTGGTCTCCTCTCGCGGGACGTTCCATAGGGTAATCTCCTCGTTGTCAGACATCGTGGGTAGATATCTTCGGCGGCTTGGGCTCGACATTAAATAATCCTACCCCCTTCTTGTTGAAACGACAATAAGGACGAACTACTAGGCGCCTCTTGATTATAAAACAATCACAATACTAGGTCTGGGCTTTGTGCTTGGTCTTGAAGCTCTTGCCTTCCCTCGTACGTCCCCTCAAGTTGTGCTCTGCCCTTTAATATATTTCGAGCCATCTTTCTCGAATGTTCCCTCATTGTTTTTGCCCTAGCCAATCCTGGTCCTTCTCCTCTAATGGATTCCAGCTGTCGCCTCTGGGTTCTACTCTGGTTGATGCCTATTCTAGTTCAAACCATTTCCTACAGTCATTTCAAAAGCCTGCTTCCCGACCAATTACTGTGCAGGCCTCTTTCTGCCAATCGGAGATCTTGGCCTACTTTTGAATAACCATTAGGTTGCACATTGACTTGGGGTGAGTGCTTGTTATTTTCAGTCATTACATTGGAAGAAATGTTCAGCTGTGTCAGGTGTAGAGAGAAACCAGACGTTACCACAAGGGATGATCATGTAGAGCACTGCTAAGGAGTGGAGTGGAAACAGCAATCAGAGGGATGAGAAACATCAAGGCAAGCGGAGATCAATTTGTGGTGGAGACACAGAAAAAGCTTTAGACACTGGGACCTTGATGATGACATTTCTATACTTGTTCTTAACCTCTGAGCCCTGAACGGTGTAGCAGCCTTCAGCACTGTGTGGACAGCACTCATCTACACTTCTATGTAGTCTTGTTCCCTGCTGTCTACTTCTGATTCAACACTCACTTTATATAAAACTTCTCGTTCTGCAAATCTGCAGCTGAATATTTTAAATATTTGTGCAATCTTTGAATATGTTCGTCATCGAAATGGCCTATTTAACTCTAACCTTTCCAAGTCCACATGCTCTGTTATTGTTACTGGGTTCCAATAATTGAATAGTGCTTTGCTCTGGCAAAACAAGAAAATAATACACCATATTAACCTGCATTCGAATCAGTGATAAATTTAATTTATTGTATTTATGTTACAGGCTCTACCAACACAAAGAACAATTATTTAAGTGAACCACTTGTTGCTGTTGTGTCAAATGGAGTTCAGGTAAACATGACGCAGCAAGTTTATACATTGACTCTACCCTTAATTTTTCAGTGTTTAGGCTTACTCACAAGTACACTGTGGGCCGCATCCCTCATTTCTAGAAATCGTCTACACACCTTGTGTTCTCCACTACAGATAATGAAACTCATCCAAGAGAACAAAGATAATCTCAAGGCCTGGATTGGAGTGGATCCCTCACTCCTCCTGGAACGTCTCAAGGACTATGATTGGATTCCATGCCATGTTTACCAATCAGCCAAGAACGAGCATGGAGAGGAGTGTGTGGAGCTCATAGTGGACTACTTCATCCAAAAAGGAGAGCCGGGGTGTGAAAGGCTGTGGGACGGCCTCTACTCTGTGAGGATGCACTATGTGCAGCTGTGGAGGTGGCTTCAGAAGCAGGGTATGATCCACATCAATTATAACAAGAGCTGTATACTGTCAGCATCCTGACAGTGCTTGGCTTTTGTTAAAAGCAACAACGAATCAAAATCATGCATAATGAAGGGTCTTATGCTGCTCCCTACCATGTATTTATTCTTCTCAAGTAATTTGCATGACGTATTAAGTTGCACGACAAAAACATGTTGCAAGGCGCAGATTGTACAACCGAACAATCAAATTAAAGTTTAACTTAGAAGTCATACCTACGTTGTGCATTAAATTGTGGTGGTGAATTTGAAAGCAAAGTCCCATCAGCCTTGCCTGATAAAAGTGGTTGTTTCCCCTTAGCTTTCTTGCCAGGAAGTCATATATATAGGTCTTGGGAGTCCTTCAATAATTTGAAGAATTAGTTCACTCAAAGACCTTGTCTGATAACTTTCTGGCCCTTAAAAGGGCTACTTTTACTTTATTTACCTCTACTGATCCATATCTGCATTCGATTTAACTGATTCCATTTTACCCATATGATGGTATTAGTTGTGTTTATGGTAATATGAAAACATTCAAAAAGTTTACCACCAAAAAGCTACCATATCCCACCCACTACTTTTCCATGTCAAGGGAGATGGGTGACATCTAGAGTGGTTATTTCTTAAATTGATGGCTACATGAGCTATGCTTTACAGGTGTGGGACCGCTGGTGTACTATGAACTATACTTCAAGGCAGATGAGAGTCTCAAAAGACAATAGCACCTAGTCTTGAGCAACACTGCTCCCCCTCACATCCGCTGGGAAGTTGCAACTAGCAAGCTACTGGAGAAGATCAACGCCAACCTAAGCTTGTGGCTACATGGAAATTTCCGACATCCACCTGCCATAGATCTTACATCATGACACCCACTGTGGTTGAAATAGCCATGCCAGGGCTGCTTGACGGGCACTGACTGGAGGGAGGAATGTCGGGCAAAATGAGCACGAAACCACTTCTTAATCGTAGTTCCGACTGTCAGTCTGTCCAACTGGCTTAAATTTACTGCACCATCAGTAGGCCTTGCTCAACAGGCTCTGGATAGGGCGAGGTTTCTTTGCAGCTCACCTCCACCGTTGGGTTTATTATTACAATCCCTTTTGCAGCTGTGACACTATACAAACAATATTGGTCTTCTTTGGTTCTTTCGGTAAAGTCACGTAGAATGAGAATAAAATAATAAATTGATAAAATAAAATAACACAATAATATTCTCACGACGTTTCAGCTTAAAAGCCATGATCTGAACGTGGCTCTTTCACTCCAGCGCTGTCCTACCAGACAGTCTCGTCCCTTCACCTGATGAAGGCCGCTTGTGTTGTGGCCGAAACGTCGTGAGAATATTATTGTGTTATTTTATTTTATCAATTTATTATTTTATTCTCATTCTACATGACTTTACCGAAAGAACCAAAGAAGATGAATCATTGCAGTCACGAAAGCTTTAAATCGAAACAATATTGGGTATAGTAGAGGACTCTAGATTTGAAGCTTTCGTGACTGCAAGGATTCATACTCTTTGGTTTTATTCGGTAAAGTCACGTAGGTAAAACAAATTAAAATAAAAGAAAACAATTAAAACACGACGTTTCGGAGGCAACACAAGCTTCCGTCTTCAGGTGGAGTAGTCAACAGCAGAAAATCTGTGTGAGTACACAGAAATGAGATGATCGGGTGTATATATAGGTCAAGGAAGGGGCGGAGCCAGAGAGGCAAGTTAGTGGATGAGTGGGTGCCACATAATGCCTGGTACAATACCCTTTTAGTATGCTGCAGGGGGGGGGGTTTGTGAAGAACTAAACCCTTTTATTATGCTGCGGGGGATCGTCTCATTTCTGTGTACTCGACACAGATTTTCTCCTGTTGACTACTCCACCTGAAGATGAAAGCTTGTGTTGCCTCCGAAACGTCGTGTTTTAATTGTTTTCTTTTATTTTTATTTGTTTTACCTTCGTGACTTTACCGAATAAAACCAAAGAGTATAGTAGAGGACTGTCCACTAACTATAGTCCAGTGGTCTATGATAAATAGGTGTTACCACATGACTCATCGATTATGCACTCGCTTAATTATAACGTGGGACCCTAGGTATTCTTTGGAACCCATGTCAAATGGAAAAGTAGTGGCTACCTCCCAGTGCCATTGTGCAACCACCACAACGTCACCAAACATTTTCAGTATGAAAATAAATTATTGACATTTGAGCTCAGATGTTTGAGAAGGACGCGAGGAATGTATTGGCAAGATAGCATAGGCAATGCAGACGTGTGGAAGAGAATATGGCGGGTAAGTGTTTTCCAATCCTTAGGCAAAATGATTGTACTGAGTGGGACGTGTACAGGATGGGGGAGGGCCAATTGCCAACAGAGGCATGGGGGTGGTGTGCACGAGCCCTGTGACCAAGGAGGACGAGTGCGGTCAGATGGTCCACGACTGTCAGAGAAGTCCTTGGAGATTGCATCGCTACTGCACAGCAGCTGCAGAATCTGTCAAGGCAAAACGCGTTGACAATATTTAGTCGCAACAGCGGCTGCAGCCATGATGACATGATGATTATGACCGCGATCTTTCAACGTCAAATTAATGTTCATGTCTGTCGAATCTTTTTACCTCACAACGTTTTCAAGTTATGTCTCACTTATTTTTAAGGGGTTCCAATAATCGCTTGGTATTTTTCTATGAAGCCATTATAAATTATGCAACCATATCAACTGCCATTTGAATGAGTAGTAAGGTAATTTTATTTTATTTATTTCACAGGTGCTACCAAAACAAGGAGACATGATTTAAGTGAACCACCGGTTGCTGATGTGGCAAATGGAGTTCAGGTAAACTCGATTGCACATTGACTCCACCCTCCATTATTCAGTGTGTAGGCTTACTCAAGTACGCTGTGGGCTCTATTACTCATATACATAAATAATCTACACACACTGTGTTCCTCACTACAGGAGAGTGAGACGATGAAACTCATCCGAGAGAACAAAGAGGATCTCAAGGCCTGGATCGGAGTGGATACCTCACACTTCCTGGAGCATCTCAACGGCTATAATTATATTCCACACCACGTTTACAAAGCAGCCAAGAACAATCATGGAGAGGAGTGTGTGGAGCTAATACTGAACCACTTCATCAGCCAAGGAGAGCTGGGTTGTCTGAACCTGTGGAAAGCCCTCTACTCTGTGAGAAAGCACTATTTTCAGATGTGGAGGTGGCTTCAGAAACACGGTATGACCCACACTAATTATAACAAGAGCTATGTACTGTCGGTGTCCTGAGAGTGTATAGCTTTTACATCATGGGACCTCTTTTGCCAGTACCAAAATATGAGAATAGGTTTTCCCCTTTTTTCTGGTAGCAAAACAGCTGTTAAGATGTTAAAACACCCAACTGAAACCTTTTACAAGGAACCATTTCTACATTAACCACAATACCTGTGGTAAGAATGCAAATAAGAAACGTACTCTGATTATATATGCATTGGCTTTGAAACTTTTGGTGTCCTCTGGTCTAACTCCGTTTTGAGACTAGGTTCAAAAGAAAGCTGTCTCTGGTGTGGACCCATCAGTTTCAAAGACAATGCATACTGTACAGCATATAATCAGAGTACGTTTCTTCTTTGCATTCTGACCACAAGTATTGTGGTTAATTAGGAAATGATTCCTTGTGAAAGGTTTCAGTTTGGTGTTTTAACATCTTAACACCTGTTTTGCTGCCATAAAAAAGGGGAAAACCTATTCTCACGTGTAGCTTTTGTTTGAAGTAATAAGGAATACAATCATGCATACGTATAGATTCTGTGCTGCTTCCAAATGTTTGTTTCTCTCAAGTAATTCGCATTACGTTTCATGTCAGACAACAAGATTATTTCACACGATGTATGGCGTGTGACTGAACAACTTCATGTTAAATTGCATCTGTATCAGAAGATAATTGTAGCATTTGATCGAAGCTTTGTTGGTCACAGGTGAGGCAGTGCATTCCATTAAAGAGAAGAAGTCGGACCTGCAACTGTGGATCAGTAGAGATACCCAGCATCTCCTACAGCATCTGAAAAGTCAAGGACTAATCCCTAATGAGCTCTTCGCTGAAGCCAATGACATGAATGATGGCAAGAAGTGTGCAGAGCTACTGCTCAACTACTTCATCCAGAGAGGCAATGATGACTGCTTAAATCTGCTGATTTCTCTGCAAGCTGTGCAGGATGAGTATCTTGAAGTCAAACAGTGGCTGGACTCCCTTGGTGAGTAATAATTTAATTTAAAATGGCATCGAACGATTGAATGCAAACAAGTGTAAATGTGAACATTGGGTGGCCAAGTGGTTAGCACACTCAGTTTGCACGGAGCTGACAGTCTTAACCTTGTCACAGCAGCCCTGTAATCTTAACACGTAGGTATTTGTAACAAACATTATGATTCATAATTTATTTCTGGGCTAGGCTACGTAATAATCTCACCAAATTTGTCTCGTTAAGACCCTCCACCACCCGACATCCAAACACTTGTCACATGTATTGCCGATTAATCCGCTAATTATATTATTGACTCAACTCACTGGTAAGTTGATGAACAAATCCTCGATTGTAAACATCAATTCGCGGCAATGTCATTTGAATCAGTAAACATCATCAGTACATTCATAATATATTTTTTAATCCATAATAAAAAAAATTTGGGTTAGATTGCATAAATATTTAAATCATCAATACAATATCCAGGAAACCAAAATAACCATGTCACCTGACCCGACTTCTTTACAAGGTGTCATAATGTTACAGGCACAACCAATCAGTTTGAAATGTGCTGTTAACCATTACACGTTAATGTATTCTATTGTCATAATTTAGCTGGACCAATACCATTACACGTATTATTCAGTACAACTTCTAATCCCAGGAGCCTGGGCATGTTTTCATTATTTCGTTTAATAACAGAGGAGGGCCAGAAAGTTGACTTTGACAACCTGGCAGTGTTATGTAAAATTTAGATTTAAAGCTTTCGTGACTGCAGGGATTCATATTATCGGTTCTTTCGGTAAAGTCACGTAGAAGGGAAACAATAAAATAATAAAAATATAAAACAATAAAATTCTCACGACGTTCCGACTGCAACACAAGCAATCATCATCAGGTGTGAAAACCACAGCAAGAAAATTTGAAAAAAGTGGCGGTTATTTTTAACGTTAGCACCACGGAGAGCGATTTGACAGTTTGTTCAGATGGACGAGTCCATCTATGTTCGGAAAAGAGGAGGGGGGGAGACGAAAATAATGGATGCAGTCTGAAAGCCACCATAAGCGTGAACAATCAATTAAGACCCAAAATGGTTTATCAAATCTTTCCAATGATTACATAAAATCCGTGATCTAGTTCCATCTGTAAAAGATGTGATTCCGGACATACAGTACCCTGGCGTCTACAAACTAAGTTGCCTCTGTGGTAGTAGTTACATTGGAGAAATCAAACGACATATCTCGGACCGCATTCGTGAACACAAAGCAGACCTAAAACACGGTAGGACCAACACCTCGGCCGTGTAAGATCACTGTTATAATTCAGTAGGCTCACATGACATTGACTTCGCGAAGACAGAGGTTCTTTGCAAGCCATCTGACTACCATGAGAGATTCGTTCATGAGGCTATCCACATATACAAACACAGAGACAATTTCAACCGAGAAGATGGATTCTGGCTTAGCAATCATTGGAAGGATTTGATAAACCATTTCGGGTCTTAATTGATTGTTCACGCTTATGGTGGCTTTCGGACCGCATCCATCATTTTCGTCTCCCCCCTCCTCTTTTCCGAACATAGATGGATTCGTCCATCTGAACAAACTGTCAAATCTCTCTCCGTGGTGCTAACGTTAAAAATAACCGCCACTTTTTTCAAATTTTCTTGCTGTGGTTTTCACATCTGATGATGATTGCTTGTGTTGCAGTCGAAACATCGTGATAATTTTATTGCTTTATATATTTTTTATTATTTTATTGTTTCCCTTCTACGTGACTTTACCGCAAGAACCAAGAATATAGTGTTATGTAAGATGTACTTTTATTGTCAAGGATTAACTGAGAAAAATATTGAGCTAGAACTTCTTATAATTTGAGCTTATAAGTTAAATGTAATTAGGAACATATATTATGACTACGTAATATACAACCAAATAGACATCATTAATCTTTCTGACAAACCAAACAAATGTTACATGAACAGCTAACAACATGATATAAAATATAACTACTCTACACTATTCTCAACCAAAACCAAAAACTACTCTGTTCCATCACAAACACTGAATTAATATATTTATTCAAACCAAAAACGGACAATATTGGAAACTCAATGACATCTACTATAACATTAGCAAATAACAATTACCAGCCACCAAACTCATCAGCAACACAATGGCAATTCACTCCAGTATCACACAATACAGTAAACAACATCATCAAACAGGCTAAACCCACTTTACCACATACCGACCCCTGACCCACGTGTCTTACTCTGCGGTTCTTCCAATACTCAACCGGGCAATCACGCATCTGATCAATCATTCACCGACTGGCAAAATTCCAAGCTCATTTAAAGAATCAAACATCACACCACTGTTAAAAACCAATCAGTAGACATGAATGATCCAAGCAACTACAGTATGAACTTGTATCTCACCTACCCTTCCTATAAACAATACTTGAAAAAAATGCCATGCAATAGCTCTCTAATTACATCACGACAAACAACCATCTACATCCCAACCAATTCGACTTCTGCATGAACTCCAGCACTGAAACAGCCCTAATACAGCAAAGAGACTACGTGCTATGGAACATGAATAACGCCACAATGCAATTCATCATCCTTGACCTGACAGCATACTGTTACGTAAAAGATAGAACCACGACACTCACATCCGAGACATGTCGTTTCGTTTCCCTAATGCAACTGCTGCCGCAACCACAACTCATCTTCTTTGGTTCTTTCGGTAAAGTCACGTAGAATGAGAATAAAATAATAAATTGATAAAATAAAATAATAAAACACAATAAAATTCTCACAACTCAGTTTGTAGACACCAGGGTATTGCATGTCAGGAATCACATTCTTTACAGATGGGATTAAATCACGAATTTGGTGTACTGTGTTGAAACGCACCTGGATCTTGTGTTTGTTTAAGATTTTGGAAATATTTTTGGTAACCCCTTGCTATGTATGGTAACGTGATGGTTTTGGTTGCATGGCCACTGTTGCAGTGGTTCTCTTGCATTGACGCTCTTGATTCGTGGAGGCCACTCTTCGATCTTACATTAACATCATGCTAATCTCTTACATTAACATAGCCACTTCTGTGCCCTCGTTGAGGGGGCCGCTCTCCTATCTTACAGTAATATGCTAATTTATCACATTAACATCACTAGCCCCGCCCACTTCTTTATGACCCTTGGGCTGCACCCACTTCAAACCTTTTTAAAACAATCTGCCTCAGCAGCAGACCATGCCTTCTCACCTGATGACGGACGCTTGTGTTGCGTCTGAAACATCGTGATTTATTTTATTTTATACCTACGTGACTTTACCGAAAGAACCAAAGAGTATGGATTCCTGCAGTCACGAAAGCTTCAAATCTAGATTGTTACAGGCTAGTTTATTCACGAGTAAATATGATGCATAATTTTACGATGTTAATCATTGGTCCAGTTAATTATAATATAATCAGAATACTTTAATTTGTCATGGTTCATATTTAGTATAAATCTAATTGGTTATTTCTGTGAGATCGTGACAATTATGTAATAAAGCTGGTCAAGTGACAGTGACTCCAACTTCCTGGATTGTTACCCTGCCTTTCTGGATATTGTCCTGACAATGTTTAATGTAGTAAAACAAACATCTTTCTGAATAGTAAATTTGGTTTTGAGGATTGTTCTTAAAGTCACTGGTGAGCTGAAACAATAATACGTGGCAGGTTGACACTTATGCACTTGACAATTAGTTTGGCTGCGTTGGGTGGTAAAATGTTTCTTAATGGCAGAGATTTGCTTACATTATCACATGGCCAAATCCAAAAATCTATTATGACCTAGAATAGTCTAATTTTAAAAACTCACCTGACCATGTTTGGAGTTGCCTCACTGCAGCTGTACATAACGTGCTCAGCCAACCTTCTATTTAGTTCCCTACTGATTACCTATGTTAACCACAAACTTAATATTATTCTTTCTAGAAATAAGATTCACATGCTCGTTGAGAATGTATTCTTTCAAACTCCAAATCCCTCTGCTTGTGGTGTAAGATGGGTAACATCATGAGTACGGCTACACAGGCTCTAGTTTGTGGGTTAAAAAACACTTTATGTAGTACTGAATATAACCTGCAAAGGCCAAAGGCTCTCACAAACATTGAAAAGGGAGTGGTTACCACCCGGGGTCATGTTTCAGTGACCAGACCATGACGATGGTCACAAACATTATTTAGTTTGAAAAGTTTGTTAAAGTTGAAGCATAGATGTCAGACGTGCTAATATTTTCCTTTTGAATTATTGGTAACGTAATTTGTATTTGTCTTTCCACAGGCACTAACAAAAGAAATCGAGTTCAGGTAAACACAACGCAGGAAGTTTACACATTGACCCTACCCTTAATGTTTTCAGTTTGTAGGCTAACGTGTGAGTACGTTTCGAGATCCATCCCGTGTAACCAGAGATAGTCTAATTCCTGTATGCACCCTTACAGGGGGGCTATGAGAGTGAAACAATGAAAATCATCCGAGAGAACAAAGATAACCTCAAGTCATGGATGGGAGCGAATCCCTCACCCCTTCTAGAGCATTTCTACGATTTCACTTTGATTCCACCTCATGTTTATCAAGCAGCCAAGAACAAGCATGGGGAGGATTGTGTGGAACTCGTACTGGACCACTTCATTCAACAAGAGCTGGGCTGTGAGAGATTGTGGATAGCTCTGTACTCTTTGAGGAGGTACTACAAGCCGCTAAGGAGCTGGATAAAACAAAACGGTATGACCCACATTAATTATAACCATAGTTGCGTACCGTCAGTATATTGAATTTGCTTGGCTTTTGTTAAAACCGACAAGGAAGAACAACCACGCATATGCATGGATTCTATACAGATTTGCCACATTCATGTGGTTGTCCTCGCAAGTAATTAACATCATTTTGTGCCGAATAACTTGACATCACACAGTGCATGACTGAACACTCTAATGTTAAGTTATATAATAGTGAGTACCATTGTGAGCGTCTACCTACTTGGCACTTTCATTCTATTTGCAAATTGTGGAATCATGGAATAGAAAATGAAAACATCTAAATGAATAAATGTAAAACGTATTCAAAGATATGTTGGTCACAGGTGAATCAGTGCGGTCTGTTCAAGAGAAGAAGTCCAATCTCAAGCTGTGGATCAGTAAAAACCCCCGGCATCTCCTGCTGCAGCTGATGATTCGAGGACAAATTCCCAATAAGATCTTCACTCAAGCCAAGGGCATGAATAATGGTGAGAAGTCTGCAGAGGCACTGCTCAACTACTTCATATCCAGAGGCAATGACGACTGCCTCCAGCTGCTGTTTTCTCTCCAAGCCATACAGGACCAGTATCCTGAAGTCAAGCAGTGGCTGGGATCTCTTGGTAAAAAAGAAAACTGCATTTTTAATCCTTTCCACATTTTTCATGTAAACAAATGGAAATATTAACACTGGGTGGCCAAATGATCCTCACACTCATGGAGGAGTCCGTTTAAATGGAGTTGACAGTAGCCCTTCTAATCCAGCAGTGGCCAACTGGCATCTCCCAAGCCACGTGCGGCTCTTTAATGCACCACATGCGGCTCTACTGAAGGGGCATAACGTATGACATACTATCACATTAGCATAGCATAATTAATACAAGTTGTAATAATAAGTTGTACGATGTAATAATATATATATATACTGTACACTTGGCCCTTTGCAGAACACACGGTTACTTTTTGGCTCTTGGTCTGTAACAAGTTGGCCACCCCTGCTCTAATCGATTTTTAAGAGCCTTCATCATCAGCCATTATATATTCACTGCTGGATAAATGCATCCCAAGTCACTGCTAATCCTCAGTCCTGCGATGCAATCCTTACAGCTCTAGAACCTGAGCTGATTGCATTGTTTCATCTCCACAGCACATATACTATGAGGTGCATTCCCTCTTTTGCCTGCCCCACCATTGCTAGTCTGCTCCACTGGACTCCTTGTAGTGGTGTCCTAACAAAGCCCACTTTGAATTGGCAGCTAAATTATGTCCTAAAGTACGTGTTCCTCTTTCTGTCACTCAATGTAATACTAAGCATCTCCTTCTCAATTTGTTTTAATGATTCCAACCACAAGGGGGCAGGAGGGGGGTGTACAACTTCCATGACAGATGAGTGGTGCGTGGCGGGATAGGTGGCTGGGACAGACAACCATCGCGGCGGACGTGTAGGACTGTAACTTTATGTGGTATGTGCGTCAGATCCCTTTTCTTCGGGGAAGGAAGGGTGAAATAGGGGGGGGAGGGGGCAATCAGTCTCATTTCAAGCTTAGCCAAGCAAACTCAGGGTCTCTGGATTGGCATTCACGAAGGGGCCCCAGATCTGGGTGAACTCCCCTTTTCTATTCCTCAGTTTCAGACTCAGGTGTTCTAAAGCTGCTCGGGCGAATTGGGAGTCATGCCAGAGGGTGAATGAGGGGGCTCCATGATTCTTCCAAGAGCTCAGGATGGTCTTTCTAGCCGAAATGTTAAATTCTTGGAGAATGGTGTGTTGGTGCCAGGTGCTGCCTTGGGGTTTAAGGCCCAGGAGGGAGGATTCAATGCCAATTAGTATTTCGGTGCCAGACATCATGTTGTACAGATCAGTTATTTTATCATAGAATTTACTGATGGAGGGACAGTCCCAGAAGGCATGAATGTATGTTTGGAGGGTACCAGGGGGGCACCTGGGGCAGTCTGGAGATATGGTCTGGGAGAATTTAGCCCTCTGTTGGTTAGTGAGATATGTGCCATGAAGGAACTTCAATTGAATTGTCCTGAGAGGGAGGGATCTTATACCTTGCCAAGGGTTGTGCCAAATTAGTTTCCAAGACTCTGATGGGATCAGGTGGACCAGCTCCCCCTCCCAAAGCACCCTGGTCTTTGGTTTCACTTCGGTAGGGCCCTGGAGTAGGAGCTAGTATGCCTCAGAGATTTTATAGTGGGCCATCTATTCAGTCAGCCATACCCATATTGGGGAGGACATCTTTCAGAGGTCAACAACCCTTGCCTTGTCAAAACAGTCACTGATCTGGAGAAATTTTTTTTAAAAATCGCTATTAGGGAGGTCATGTCACTTTCTAATATTTTAGAGATTGTCCACCCACCGAGTCAGACGAAAGGTCACCCACCCTCCTGATTCTCACTCTTTTCCAAGCCAGGTCAGCTGACACCCTTGCCCCCAATTCGGAGGGATGGATTATTCCACATAGAGTCGCTGGAGGCCAAAGGTGATAGGGATCAGTCTTTTTCTCAGGATCCAGAGGGTTGTGTTGACCGAGGATAGTGGTTAAAAATCTGAGGGCTTATCCTTCAGGTGGGAGTGGACTATTCCCTCAAGGCTCCAGGGGGATACTGAAAGCCTCTTAGCCCGGTCTGTTCTTGTTGAGCCAATGCTTGACCATAAGGACGCCTCACGATAAGTAGTACTTAGTGAAATCAGGTAGCCCCAGCCCACCGCATTTATTCTCCTGAGGTAAGGTATGGTTGTCGATCCCGGCCACCTTGTGGCCCAAGACAAAGGAGGATACGAGCAGAGCTTAGTGAATAATTTCTGAGGTATCTTTATCGGGATCATCCTGAGATGGTAGATGGCCTTTGGAAGGGTCATAATTTTAACCAAGTGGACCTGATTGGGAAGTGATAGCGGGATGTGTTCTCGGAGGAGCTGAAGGACATTCCTATCTGTTTCCTGAGGTCTTGATTTGGACGGAGAGGAGAGGGGGGAGGAGGCTTTAGCCTTGTTCCCTGGGATGCGCTCTGCCATTAGGCTCGAGAGGGAGTGAGTAGACTCAGGCTCCTTGTGGAGGAAAGAGGGAGGAGGAGGGGGGAATTGGTGGAGGCACCAAATAACTGCAGTTCGGAAGGGTCGGGGAGAGTCTGGGTGTAATAAAGCATGGCGCTGCAATGCAGGCCCAAGCCTACGGGTTAAAGTAGGGTTCAATTGTCTCATTCTAGGACCCCCTTTAATGGGTCTGATGGTGAGAGTAAAAAAACAAATTAGTAAAAATAAAGAGGTGCTTCAAGACACTGACATGAAGTGGTTGGTGAGGAGGTCACTAAAGGAAGCAGCTCACTCCGGCATGACGTCATCAGAAGTCTCCCCCCTTCTCAAATCTTACTTGCACACTTTACAATTTTTGTTCCTAATTCTTCGTCAATGTCCATATTTCTCATCCGTGTTATAGCAGGTAACATACAGCGATTGAAACCGTTATTCAGGAATATGAGTATTGCTTTTCATGATTAAGTTTAGTTTAAAAAAGCACTCCCTCGTCCTTGTGTGCACCTCCAAGGCTTAACAGTGTGGACTATCACTTTTTACCACAGCATTTTTCCAGAGGCTTTGTAAGAAGACCTCTTTGTTTCTAACCATGTACAAGGAATCTGTTCTGCAAGAAAAAATCCAAACCAACACAAGTAAGCTGATCAAGGCACTGCACTCTGACCTGAGACCCCTGCTGTACCAACTACAGAACCGAAATATACTCAGCAACATCAATGTGCGGGTACGTTCATTATCAGTGTACTGGTGTGTCCATTATCTAGTGCACTCACTAAAGGTGGATCAGGACCAAATTGAAGAATTACAATTTTAAAAGTAGAGTGGGATGGTATGCAATCTGTCTGTAACATGGGGGTACAATTTCACTTGTTAAGATGATCCATGTATTTATCCTATGAGCCTAATTGGTTGCGAGTAATCAAGGGTGTCACGGTGGCGAGATGTTAACTTCCTCACCTGCTATGCAGGAGATTGTGGGTTCGATCCCTACCCTGACGCCTATATATTTGGAGTTTGCATATTCTCCCCGTGGTTATGTAGATTTTTCTCCGGGTCCTCCAGGTTTTCCCTCCACATTTAGAAAGTGCATTTTTAGTATTTGGCAGCTATACATTTCCACATGATAAGCCACTTCGTTGAGCTATCATTTGTGGCTAAGTCACATCTGACAAAGAGATATATAACTCAGTGGGCCTTGCATGGCAAAACAAAAACAAAGTTTAGTAACTTGCGTTTGTCCTTGGAATTTTTTTAGTAGAAAAATTAAATTACGTACTCAACCGCACAACAAGATGACCTCACACGGCGCATGATGAGTAATGTGATTTAAAATCACGCGTGATGACGTCATTAGAAAGGGATGGGGCGGTGCTCCCGCTTTGAACGCGAGGGCGCAGATGCCAAGGGGAATCCGTTTGGCATTGGCTGTCCCAAATCTAGGGTGACTTTCATAAATTGGGCCGATTTACTCTAAGATGAGTCCCTAATAGCAATACAACTTTGTACTAGATTTGTGTTCACAATAGTTATCATGCCCCAACATAACGTACCGACGAACAGAGCTAGTTCGTTAAAACTTTAAACCTTTAGTTATAAATGGTTAACAATATCACGGGATGCACAAGCATCAGACCAAATAAAACCTTCGTCATTAATTCTGCCTTTGAACTGAAACACACGCACAGAGAAGCCTGACAGTGGACCTAAGCAGTGTGTCTGACGAATTTCCAATGCCTGGAACATCACCCTGCTCTAAGCGACACGCGTTGTGGTTGTGTTGGTGCAGGCAGTGAAAGGAATGGAGCAGTTTCAATGCAGAGAGAAGGCGACTGAATACGTGCTGGAGCTGGTTTGCATGAAAGGACGACAAAACATCAAGCAGTTCTGGATGGCGCTGTGGGATCTCAGGAGAACCTACAGACAACTGGAGGACATCTTTGAGCAATTCTAACTGGACAGCAGTGACGATTATCTGAACCGGTCCTGGGCCTCCCCTACATCGACTCATCTTCAAATGAGTACACCTGGTGCAGTGTGTAAAAACCTCGCCACTAGGGAAGCAAAGGTGGTCGGGCATGGTGCTGGCCACCCACCCCCTTGTGTACCGTTCCGGCCTTCATAGGTGATCGCTAACAGCACTTGCCCCTACAGTCTGTTAATGTGATATGGGGGATCTTTGTCTTTGTTTTTTTGTGTCTAATGTCGATGTCTGTGTGTGAGTCCAAATGTGTGTGTGTGTAAGTCGATGTGTGTGTCTGTCTTTTTCGCTAGTGCTATATAAAATCTCAACATTATTAGGATTTCCACGTGATTGCGGCATTGGATTTGTGTCGTAAGTAGAACTTACTTCTGTGTTGTGGGGCATCTACGATTTCAATCTTACCGATTATTCATGGTGGGAGGAAGTGAACGTTTGGTATGGTTCACAACTGCTTATAAAACTATTTTGACCTGATGATTGTAACAGGGCATTGAGTCCTGTGAAAATTATCACAAAACGTCTCTATCCTCATCATATCGACCATTAATGCTAAACAATTCCAGATCTTTTGTGGGAGGTGTTGTATATATTCCATTTCCAAAATTTCATATTGAGAGTGATTTTGGCAATTCTTTACGTAATCGTTTTATATTTTTCATATATCTGGATTTAGCGCGTTCTAAAATAAACGCAGTAATGGAGGCCTGTGAACTCCTCCTTTGAGACAACAAAGGCCAAAGGAGCACCCGCCGCTGCTTCGCCCTCACACAAAATAAACTCGGCATCTGAAGGTCAATTATCCACAAGCCTTGGCTTGGAAAAGTTGTAAAGTTGGATTGACCACCAGCTCATAGGAATATTTTCAAACATCATGGTATTTAACGTTAACTTGATGCTAGAATGTATATGATGATGGAGAACAGGTGTGCTGTATTAGTGACGAATTGGCATGTTCTGTTTACGTGACAACCCTTACTAGTTGGCTGTGTCGGGTGGTGGCGGGATTTTAACGACACATTTATATATTTACGCGATCTAACCCAAATAATCTCTATTATGGATGGTATTGGTCGCGAAATCCTACGTGTTAAAATTACTATTACACCAAAAAGTCTGGGATAAGCAGGTAAAACTTAATGATGATGCAAGGAGTGACCCAGGGAATTTCTGAGAGAGCAAGGGAGAACCCATGGCCAAACACCATAAACTTTATGCCCACCAGAAGGCAAATACAGGGCAACGAGACAAGAATCTCCCTTGCCGTTTCACTCTCTAAATTCACAAACCCTGGTGCCTCGAAAGTTGAAACGTTCAAATGCTCACCATGCATATTCACATTTTTAAGCATCCTGGCATTAAGCATTAACTTTGACAATACAGTAAATAGTCAGGAGGTTTTGAATACTCCTAGTTGCATGTTTTATTAATAACCACCTATCTATACATAAGTGCCATGAGACCTCGGTTAGGCATATAAGCTTGATAACGAATTGTGGAAGTTTTGTATTTAAGTATTGAACCAAAGGATCATTCTAAAGATATACATAATACGAATTATATCAATTCTCCATGACAAGGATAATATGTATTCCAAGGGTATAACCAGAGCCTGCACACCGTCCTTTGTCTTCCAGTGGCTGTCATTGCATGCTACAGCAGGAATTAATTTTAAGGATGAGCCCGCCTGAAGAGGCGGGGGGGGGGGGGGAATGCCTTTTCACAATAAACAAGGCTACAAACACACACCACACTTAGGGGAGTGTTATAGGGGTTTTGACATAAGGTGCCAGGATGCCTGTGGAGCCAGCACAAAGGGGCTACTAGGCTGACCAGATCAATGCAAGGGGCGTGATAGGGGGAGGAGTTTTGGGCTTTGATGTCTCTTGGGGAAGACGTTCCTTTTTAACACTATACGAGAATCATACAAGTCAGTCTTGCAACGGCAAACTCCAGGGGCACCGGTAACCAGCCAAGTGTCAAGGGTGTTGCAGAGGCAAAGGCTCTATGTCGCTGAGTGTTGAGTTCGGCGCTGACAGACTCTTGAGTATTGCTCAAATTTTCATTTTCCTTATGTTTTGAGTCACTTGCAGAATCAAGGACTTCCAGAAGTTAGATTGTACTAAGCTAAGAGTTGTGAGAAGCTAAGAGATGTGCAAAAGCATTTTTACAGAATACTGTGATCAGCTAAGACGTGTGAAAAGTTAGGTGGAGATTTGAGTTATGCAACAATATCGAGTGTGCATGAAATGTTGTCCAAGGTATAGGCTGAAAAAGTTATGTTGTCCAAGTGACTGATGTTCTTTGAGTCTGGAGAGTTTTGGAGAGTTAGCGTGGAGCAGGATACCTCCCGAGGGAGGTGGGGGAGGCACCAAGGGTTGTTGCGCGAAGCAGGCAGCTGCTGACAGGCAACGTGTTGAGAAACGTGGCCACAGAGCACTCCAACGGCAGATCGAGCCTGGCGTGCAGATAACCTGCAAACGTGCAGCGCAGCAGATTGATGATAATGGCTGACCACGAGCGTGCTGACTCGGGAGCCCCAAGCGCCCTCCGGAGTGGGTCGAGCACGATGCAGAGACAACAGCGCGAAGCAGCGGCGAGCAGCAGGGCCGCGAGGGCCCTACAGCTGTGGACCAAGGAGAAACATGAACTTGACACTCACCATTGTTAACTTACCTTGCACAGGTTGGGGGCCAAGAAGAATATCAGCCTGCATGCATCACGCGCCATGACAAGGGAATTGTGTACGGTCGCGTTACCATGAGACAGCCTATTCTTTTATTTTGATCACGTGATTGTGAGATCCTATCATTGACGTTTTCTAACTATTTGATAAGCAATTGATGAGAACGCATTCTGTGCGAATATTGCCACTTTGAGGTGTTGCCTATTGTTCTGGTTTGGGGGCCGTCCATAAATGACGTCACGCACCTAAGGGGGAGAGGGGGGGTCAGACATTTGTAACGAGGGGGGGAGGGGGGTTTTGAGAAATGCGCAACTTTAAATATAGAATTGTTATAACAACACTAATTTTGATACATTTTCATTATTAACTATTTGCTTATTTAAATTTACTAAGGTCACCTTAGTAAATTACCGAAGAGCCAGTAGCTATCACCTCTACAGATGTTTAAAGTTGCTTATGTAGTGGAGTACGAAGGTGCATTGTGGAAACAGCATGATTACATGATCACTCAGACAGTACGGGTCATCTTGGGTCAGCCTGTAGTGAAGGCAAATACAGTGCAGGTTATGTTAGGGCAATTAAGCTGGGGTAGCCGTGGACGACTGTGATTGGTTGGTGCTGTTGCCGGGGCTGGAGAGGCGTCTGGAAGTCTGGCGAGAAACAGGTGCGACGGTCACACGGAGCGCCGTTGGGACGCGGGTTAATTAATCGGGGGTGTAATGAGAGCGGGTATAAGAGCTGGAGTCGGAGTCAACAGAGGGGATTTGAGTTGAAGGGAGTTGAGCTTGGAGTTGGGTTGAATGGTGGAGAGCTTCGAGAGGGGTTGACGTTGGAGAGCTTAGGGAAGACAGAGTTTGGAGACGGAATTGTAAACAGTTTGGAGACAGAGTTGGAGACGGAGTTTGGAAACAGAGTTGGAGACGGAGTTTGGAAACAGAGTGTGGAGCAGAGCTGAAGAAGAGAATAGCCAGCAGTGGAGAGAGAGCGTAGCGATAGCGGAACTGAAGACGCTGTGTGCGAAGACGCTGTGTGCGGAGTTGCTGAGTGCGGAGTCGCTGAGTGCAGAGCAAGCAAAGTAATTGTGGGGAGCGGGGAGACAAAGGTGGCGAGCGAGTCGAGTGAAGCACAGCGAGCGAGCCGTGGCGACCTGGATATTGTGGAATGTGGAGGACATGCTGAGAGTTGTAAATAGAGCGGTGTTCGAAGAAAGACAAAAGTTGTCCGAGTGAAATCGAACACTACATTCGGTGTCAGAATGTCTACGAACCACGCCGACATGTGGAAGACGTCGGCCAAGAGAAGGGACGTGCTGACCGACTCGTCCGACGACGGCAACGAGGTGAACGTGATTGCCGCATCAGGGCAAGTGGGTGCCGCTCCCCCGGCTGGAGAACGAGCGTTGCCGACGGGGCTAAGCCAGCCCGCTGCCGTTCTCGCGCCGCCGGGAAACGTCGACGATGGAGCCGCACCTCCCGCGGCGCTGCAGGCGGGGCAGCAGGACGCACAGCACGCCGCTGCTTCGACCGCCATCGAGAGGGAGAGCGCCGGAGCTGGAGGAGAGAGAATGCCACCGCCGCTAATGCAGGTGCCGGGGCGGGAAAATTGTGCGCATCGTGCTCGCGCGACCGCCATCGTGGCGGCCGTTTGGGACGCGGTTCCCTCCGAAACGCCGTTCCCGCCATTCTCAACGCCTGTGGAGGAAGATGTTCGGCCGTCTTGGTGGCATCCTGTCGCAAGAGGATGCCGTGCTTCGAGTTCCTCACAGCCTCTCAGGCGAGTCGTGACACAACGCACCCGGCCCTAAACACACACCTCACCCATCTTGCTTGCGCCGGGTTGTTGTTGTTTTTGCCTGTGGGTTTTTGTTGCTTGCTGGGCTGCTGAACGGGGTTTCTGACTGTGTGAATGTAGGATGAACGCAATGTCTGTGCTCGTGTGTGTGGCTACGGCGAGTGTCCCGAGGCCCTTTAAATATCCTGTGGGTTGCCGTGTTAATGATTCGCGATTGTTATTGTATATGCTTTATGGAGCTTCGCTTGTGATTGGTTGTGTGCGACTGTGAGAAACTTTGATCGTTATTGTTGCCAAGATATAGACTGTAGCGGACTGTATATGCTAGAAACTTTAATCGTTATTGTTGCCAAGATATAGATTGTATCGGACTGTATATGCTGCATGTACTGTATTACCTCATTCGGCGATTCGTGGGATTGTGTATAGTTGTTTTGCTCTCTCAACTCGGTTGGTACAGCTGTGTGCTGCAATGCGAGAATCTAACATAATGGGTACCGATGCGGGATGTGAAGTGTATTGTGGTGACCGTTGGGTATTTGGGATCGTCGCAAATTGTGTGCGCTTGTTCGCCATTGGAGATGGTGACATGCTGCCATTGATTTGGTATTGTGCTGGCTGTCAA